GGTGAATATCGTGCCCGACGCGTTTGGAAATTTGATCGCGAATACGGTCGATGGAAGGGCCCATTTCGTGTTGACATCCCCGAATTCGACAGTGAGAAAGTTGACGGGCCATTGTATTTTTTATGAGGAGCCGCCAGTGTTAGAGACATATATTTGCGGCGATATGAGTCCCGCGTGGAACGCCGCAGAAGTTGCACCTTTGAATAGGCAACCATCGGTTGGACCCAATTTTTTAGGGTATCTTGGCCATGGATGGTTTTTCGGTGCTGTAGTCGAAGCTCAATAATTGGTGGGTCATTTTTCGATTGTCTGAGTCTCCAAACAACGGGATACTTAGCCGTAGTTATGGATTTGAGCGCGGCGAACGATGTGGTATGTTTTATGTTAATTCAGCAGTGTGGGTTATGGAGGCATGTACATGTGCCCTTGCAGCAGTTCAATCCATGCCCAGGATTATGTTTACTTTCAGGGTTGTTGGGCGACCTTCGACTTTCGTGTTCGATCGGGGGAAACGTTGGGCTATCCCTGGCATGAGACGTCTCCAATAGGAACAGGTCGAATTCGAGGGCGAATCCTGCTCAACCGGGGGAGAATTATGCAGTATTATTATTATTATTTTTATTATTATTATTATTATTATTATTATTATTATTATTATTATTATTATTATTATTATTATTATTATTATTATTATTATTATTATTATTATTATCTTTGAGAATAAATTAGGAATTATATAATATTATAAGAGATCTTGTATTGTTGGACAAGTTAGTAATATGGTTTAGGAGTCTTATTTAAAGGGTTCCCCATCTTTAATATTACTAGTACGTTACCCGCGCGTTGCGCGGCCTAATATTAAAATGGTGTGAATGAATGAATTTAATAGAAAAATGTTTTTTAAAAAATTATTGAGATAATGTAGAATAAATTTATTGTTAATTTATTTAAAAATACTTCAACAAATACAACATCTATAATGTGAACTGTGTTTGTCATCACTAATAGTAATAACAATAATTAGGCAACATGGATCGTGACTCTAGAAACAATAACAATTAACAAAAAAAAATTATAAAATCCAATATAATTCGTTTTAAAAATTTTTAAAATTAAATTTTTAAGCTTACAAAAATATGTCATATACCATGAAAAAAAAAAAAATTAGTCACATTAATGACACTTCTTCAAAATTTTCATAAAAATGTATATGTGATAACATAATTTTCATGGTTCAAAAAAAAAAAATAAAGTCATGATTACTATTGTATAAACATGTACGAAGATGAAAAAATTCAAATATATAAATATAAATTAAATATCTATAAAAAAAATAAAATAACTTCTATCTGCATGTATTTAATTTTAAATTAAGTCTACATATTTTATTTTTTTTACTTTTTATTAACAAAATAAATCTCAACATTTCGTTTTTCACAAAATAAGTGTGATGGTGATTATAGAATGACGTGAAAGATTTATCATTTTTCATAAAGTCATAAATAGACTCATTAACTCAATATTAAAATATTTATTTTTTTCCTGAAATTCATGAGAAATGTAATTCAATGTAATATTAAAATACTTATTTGTGCATAAAACCAATGAAAATTAACACTTTAAAAAATTGGTAATGTAATACAAAAAAAAAAACCATTGAAATTATATTATATAAAATCTAAAAGAAATAAAATAAAATTAACATTATGATACATGATAAAGAAAAAGTAGTTGATGCATTATAATAAGTTTGTGGTTAACTTTTCTACTGCGACGTTCAATTGTGATAATATGATCTCATCATTCTCTTATGGAAAAAAAAAACATTTTTGATATGGACAAAAAATAAATGCTAATTGCCCATTATGCTATTTTTATTTATAAATTTTTTGCTGTAAAATTGTGTACTTTTTAAAATACTTATTATTATTATTATTATTATTATTATTATTATTATTATTATTATTATTATTATTATTATTATTATTATTATTATTATTATTATTATTGCATGAAATTAATGAGAACTGTAATATATTAAAGTACTTATTTTTCCAGGAAATTGGTGAAAATGATAATTCAGTGTAATTTTTAGAAATAAAAACGACAAACTTTTTTGTAAAGTAATACGAAAAATAAATTTAAATTATATTATATAAAATATATTAAAAACGAACTATTGTGAAATTAACATTTTGATATATGATAATAAAAAAGTGGTGGATTCATTATAATAAGTTGTGTTTAACTTTATCACTATAACATTCAGTTGCGATAATATACTCTCATCATTCTCTCATTAAAAAAAAA